TGTAGTTACATTTGAGAGCAGCTTCTGCGGCTGTCGACGCATCAAATATTCCGTAAAGCTCACACGGCAAGCAGACTTAAACAACTTTAGCCCAAGTGGCACAGCGCAGCCCAGCGGCTAATCCAGCTAATAAATTTTTCAATTCGCTCGCCGTTCGGACACTCTGTCAGCATATACATACATAAATCTACATGGGGCACTCATAAATATTTCATTGATGCGCTTCGCTGCTCAGTTTGTTGATTGTGTTGTTGTTGTAGTTGTTGTCGCTGCTGCTGCTGCTGCTGCTGCTTATAAGTGAAATATGTCCAGTTGGGCGTGCAGACTTCCATTTCCTTGGCACTTCCTCGCAAAAATATTCTCGTATATTACTTTTCCTTTTATTTTTAATATGCTCATTCAATTTGCTTTCGCCTCTGTATCTGTTTGGCTGGCCTGGCCTGGCTTGCCCTGCCTTGGCTTGACTTGGCTTGGCTTGACTGGGTTTGCTCATCTGCTGCTCGTTCGTCGTGTAGTTTATTGATGACATGACAAACAAGGTACGATTTCCGTGCACTCAAAAAGTTCGAGAACCATTTTTCTTCCGTTGGCGCCCAGTTCCTCAATGTTCGCTCTTTGGCCATTGTGTTTGTACATGCACATTAACTTCATTTTGTAATCACGCGCACCATAAATCCAATTTAATTGTGCTGCTTACTTGCCTGCATACACACACACACGCACGCACACGCACACATACAGCGCTTGACAACGTTCACACTGCGTATACTTAATATTTGTTCGCTCGTGCGCTCAGTTCCCGGCTCTAAGCTAAATAGACGCACATAAATTTCCCTCGATATCCGTTTGATTTCTTCGAATTGCATTTTGAAAAATAGATGTTTTATACTGCTTTCGCCTGCTGCTGCCGCACTTCCCCGCTCCGCCGGGCCCACCGGCAAGCTTCACCTTGTCTGACTGATTTACTACGCACAATTTTCTGCCAACTGGCAGAAACTTGCCAAGCGTATGTTGTGCCCTGTTACGTGGCTCTATCTGTGCTCGCTAGGTCCAGTCAGCAGTCACTCGCTCTGATTTATGCTTGATTGAGAAGCCTGAAATTGTATGCTAATCAGCCCTAGCGCTGGGCCATTTGTATAGCTGGCGCTCCAATTGATTTTAAATGGCTAGCTCATTTGACACTTTGACTGAGCGATTGATAATTTGAATGTCATTAGCCGTTTATGTGTGCGGTCTAAATAACTGCATATCATCTATTAGCAATCAAGCCACTCAATAATGGCACTCCACAGTCGATTAACGCTTTCTGCTATTCAATATATATTATTATATATGGTATAGTGTATACAGTTCGTTTATTTTCACTTTTGTTTCCTGTTGAGCGACTTCAATTGAACGATTCGAGTGACAGTCTTTTAAGGAGCACCGTATAGGGAGAGACACGATTGACGGTCGCAGAAATGAGAGTCTTACTAAGTCAATAAATAGCTCAACAAATCTATGCAGAAACAAGCACAGAAGAAAATTAATTGCTGCTATTGCTGCAATATATTGAGAATATATATAATATATGGATGGAAATATAATATATATAATTAAATCACAATTGAAAAAATCACTACTCATAGTATGAATATAAAATATAAAATAAATATGAATATCAATAAAATATATTAAATATGTAAATACAAAATATAATATATATAAATACCACGAATACTAACAACACATAAAATTTAAATTAAATTAAAAATCAAGCGGCGTAAAATAATTTGCTGGAAAGCCTCTTTGACTTTACCTGCAAATAAAACCATTTTTAAATCAAACAATTCACAAACCGACGATAAAATATATAAATTAATTTTAATGAAATTAAAACTACTTAATGTAAAAAAAAAAAGAAGTTATATAGAAATAACGCAAGTAGAGCTCACGCTTGATATCCTTTACATATATAAAACTTTGTTTCGATTGGGTTTCACTTTAACTTTTGATAGCTGATCCCACTGATAAAATTTACTCCTTACTCCATTTCCTTGTCGTCTACTCAGGCTGCTTGAACGACATAAAGCTTGCGAGCTCTAGTGCTGTTGGTCATTAAGCGCAGCTGTTCGACGTCCACTTCACTATAGTTTGCCATAAATTGCACGTCTTGGCCCCCTTTGATGTACAATACAATATGCTGGCAGCGCATTGCTAAGCTCGGAGTTAAAGAGCAGAAAACAAGAATAGATATCGGCGAATTTACTGGGGACAGCTCATTAATGCGAGACCACACACACATACACACATGCGCTCCTCTGAGCGCACAATTGGCTGCACTTGTGCTGGGCCACTTAGTTGCGAAGGGCGCTGGCTAGCCGCAATGCCACAGCGTCGAGTGGTTAATGGGCAGTGGTGCGCTGCTCCAAATCCCTGTGCGATGGTCAACTGAGTCCATGCCCATGTCCATGTCCATGTCCGTGTCACGTTTGCCAATTGAAGTTGAGCGTTGCGTGCGGCCCTGTTTTCATCGCGTTATGTATGCAGCATATCCGGCCTTGTCATTTCATACTAATCAACATCCGCTAACTACTTTTTGCCCAAAAAATTTGAGTACATTATTTCGGTGGTGGGGGTGGTGCACACCCACGGCAGCTGTCAGATTTGAATGTGTGCTGGGCCAAGCGAAAGCGCAATATATTTTCAATTCTGTTATAGCCATTTGTTGCAGCATTTGCATTCTAATTGCATGCGGGTCGAATTCGTTGCACTTGCACAACAATGCGTGTAAGTGACGCGCATGTAAATTATATTTGCTTCGCCGCGGATCGCATTTTGGCCAACAAAATGTAACAAAATGCTGGGAAATTGTAAATTTATTGCATGCCACGTATATACATGAAGGCACACACACACCCATACCCACTCACACACACACACACACACAGTCAGGCAGACAGACTCACACGCAGTTAAGCCGTTTGCCTTCATTGCGCATATTACGCATACGCACCGTTGTTAATTTCATATTCTGAATTGATGGCAACTCTCGCCGGGCCCCAAAAATGAAATTGTGCTCGTACTGCCACTCTAACTAGTACTTCCTTTGACCATCTACTGTATTATGCATTTTGGGCAGCAGCACGTGTTTCTGCTTTAGTGTACTTGTGTGTGTGTGCTTAAGCGTGTTGTGTGTGTGTGTGTGTGTGTGTGTGTGTGTGTATGGGCGTATATTTTATAAAATGGCCACTACTTATATAAAGCCGCTGCTCGCTTTGATCTCAGGCTAAGCCAGCATCCACTTTGGCCACCTTTTCTAGCCTCATCTTAAGTATCCATTGACTTTAATTGGACAGCTCTCTAAGGTGCGGCTATTGAGGCTTTATTTGCCCTTGGAGAGACACGCACAAATACATTTCAAAGTAAACAGCTCTCACACAACTGCATAACACAGGCACACACACACAGTGATAAGTTGATTTTGGCATGGCCTTAACCCAAGAAATAATGATAACTATAACACTTAATCTATATAGTTAATCTAAATATTTTATTTAGTAATTCTATCTACTTATATTATTGGCTGACTAAGGCAAAAAAATTATAAAGTTATTTTGATAATAATATTATACATATATAACATAAAACTAATTTAATATTTACTTACTCATTTTTTAAAAAGTTTACAGTTAGCGGAGTAAATTATTTTTAATAAAATAAGAGCTCTCAAAATATTTTATTATTATTTCATTTCATTTTATATTACGTGAAATTTTTGTGAATACCTTATATAAAATATTTTAATAGGAATCAGTTAAA